TTAGCTTAACTTTGAGGCACATAAAATCTTAATTTCTTATTCAACCAAGAAGCGATAATGCAGGACGGATAGCCCCCAAAATGATGTTGAGGTGATGCTGGTTTTCTTTCAGTGCTATGAGGTGCCTGGAGTGAAGATCCTGACATACAACGGGCCCATTTACTACGGCAATCGTAGTTTCTTCAGGGAGGAGATGAGCAGGCTGCTGGGCCTGACGCCAGAGAAGATCCGCAGCTGGGAGAAGGCCAGGAAAGCCCTGGAGAAACGGGAGAGAGAGGCCACCATCAACACTGTGGTAAGCTTACTGCAATCACTGAATGAGAGGAGATCAAAAAAAAGATACAGATTTTAAAGTTTACGTACTCTGTAAAATCCAATTTAATGTCATATTTCTCATTGTTTTTCCCCATTCATTGTTCAGGAAAGAGGCATCGCAAACACATCTTTTAACTCAGAAAACGAGTTCTTTAAATCAGGTAAGCAATGACTTTTATTGTAGCCTGTGTGCACGATACTAAATATGCATGCAGTTCCAAAAACTACTACTATTCTACAAGCATTGTTAATTCTAGCCTATGTTTTTATTATATTACCCTATTTACATTTTCAACGAAAGCTACAATTTCTTTTTGGTTCTGCAGAAACCTCTGAGAGTGATGTCCAGGCAGTGTTAATCGACTGCAGCAGCGTGACATTTGTCGATGTTGCTGGAGCCAGACTCTTTACACAGGTCAGTCTGCTAAAGCGTGACATGATGCGCAACTTGGCTGTACAGGCTTCTCTCCATTTGTTTTTTGCATTTTGTCAACATGATCAAATTGATTTTGGCTTTTCACAGATGTGCACTGAATGCCAGAAAGTTGGAGTTCATGTGTATTTGGCAAACTGCAATGGTAAGACCTACGTATCAGTATGACTTCTTTACCTTTGGTTTCTGTTATATTCTCTGTTTATGCTACTTAATTCAGAGTTTTTATTTTTTATTTTTAGAGGGATGATATTAACATATTACATTTGTCAAAATCCACCTGTATGGAGTGAGTACTGATCAATGATTTCTGCCTCCTCAGAGAGTGTGTTAAAGATCCTAACGTCAAGTGGTCTAATGAACTACATGAACCCTCAACATATTTTCGTCACTGTTCATGATGCAGTGATGTATATTCAACAGCAGAAGGTAAGCTGGAAAGCAGACACTTTTTATAATCATGCAAGAGACGTTGATGTCTGCTTACTGAGATTGTTGTGAACAATTAATGATACTAGTGTTGTCTGCCTTAGGAAAAACCTCCAGAGAACACCATGACTGTTTGGGTATGAGGCATGAGGACAGTGACGAGTCGTGCTCCTTTCAACCAAGTGTCTGGGACCAAAATGGCAGATGGCATTATGGCCTCTACATTTGTATTATTAGCCGAGACCATGTCTCTCAGCTGTATAGGAGCGCTCCAGCCTTTGGTCCAGATTGTACTGTATACCAGTGTTTTAAAGAACAGTAGCCTGTTGTAGCACTATGTCATGAATTTAAATAATTATTACATTACAGTGTTACCAGTGTTCTCACAGATATTGGGCTCACTCTTGGCACACTTTAATCTGATACTAGCAAATCGTTCACAGATTCATATAGAACAGACAAATCATATATTTAGCATAAACAAACCTGAAGAAACAAATATATAATGTTCGACTTATGACTATAAAACTGTATATGACAGATATTGTTGTTTATTATTGTCATATATGCTGGAACATTACCATTAGTAATATTTATTTAGTTTCTGTGTTTGCAATACAGATAAATACACATAAGTGCACTGATTAGTTTGTTAAAATGCTTTGTATATTTATATCTTTTGAAATATGTGCTTGAACATGCGGATATGTACAGTAAATGCCATCACATACTGCCTTAAAGCATTCTGTCTTTTAACTCCGGAGAGACTGCACAAAATATTTTGTAAATGACTTTTGTATTTGTCAGCAAATGTGACATCCAGTGGCTGTTTTGACAATAAATGTATCTCAAAAAAAACTTTGCAGTGAATCAAAACTGAGTTTAATAAATGTCAGAAAATAGCCGGGTTATAGGTTTCTTGGGTTAGTGTGGTTATTAAATATGAATACGTTTTAGGTGGAAACACAGTGTGGAATGTGAAGCATGCCACTCTGTCAGATTTTGAAGACAGAAGAAGAGCAGTCTTTGTTTTTGGTGAGGTGCTGTAGACCTGTGTGTCTGCACTGAGATATGAAAAAAGGAAAAATACAGGATTCAAATGACAACAAAGACAAAGGAAATTTTGCAGCAGCAAAGAATAAAATTGGGAGAGAAGGACCATCAGTCATCTGTCCTGGAGAATGATGGTTTTCTGCAGCTAGACTGGTGTCAATAAATGCGTGTTTTCATAAAAGCTCACTACATTAGATTAAACTGTATTTCCACCATTTTCCAGGGCATTTACACATGTTATTAGATGTTCAAGATATGTTTTACCAGAGGCTGTCATTGTCATAACTGTAATAGAAAGTGATGTCTTACCTCACCACCATGCTGCCATCTGCTGTCCAACAGTTAAAGGTTTCCCATCTACTGCTCCCCGCCGTAAACCTGTTACCTTGACCTGATAAAACTATATGTAGTGTGAGTTCAAAACCAGGACAAAAAAAAAGAAAAAAAAAAAACTAATTATTTCCCTGCTTGATGTTAGATAGCCAAGTTATTAATTTTTTCCAGTGCATATTTCAAAGAGGCCTCAAGACACTGTACCCTTTGGGTTTTCCCTTTAAAGCTCAAGGAGTGTTTCACTAATTGGCAGGAAGTAGTCCACTTCAATTAAAACATGGTACAAGGCTCTGGCCAAATGTTTACTAAGCCAGATTCTACCGGCAGACCTACTAACGTGTACACACACACACGCACGCACGCACACACATACACACACACACACACACACACACACACACACACACACACACACACACACACACACAAGGAAGGTCAGCAATCTAATGACAAAGCTTTGATTCACCTATGAAAATGTGCTTACAGGTGTGGTTGTAGAAATGGGGGTATTGAGCACATGGTTACAGTGGTTCACCCAAACATAATCAAATGAAAAAAGAAAAGATACGAAAAGAAAGAAGTCATTTTCATTTGAGAATAATTGTCGGTAGCTCTGGCTTATTTCAAACACTAAGGACAAGAAAGATAAGAGAGAAAAAAAAAACACAACGAAACAAGTGATCCCTGTCTTGTCTAATTAATAAAACTGAAGTGGAAATGGTAAAAAAAAAAGAAAGTAGGAAGTTACTGTAAAATGTGGTAGAAAATGCAGACTCTATTCCTGTCAAGAGTGTTCATTATTAGTATGAAGCAATGCTACCACTGATACTATTACCATCTCTACTGGTACTACTACTACTACCACCACCGCTACTAAAAATGGTAATTTTAGGCACCTTACTGCAGAGCAGGAGGTAGTTCATCTAGCAGCCAATGGCATTTTAGCCTGGTGCTTTGTCTCCATCTTGTGGTGAAGTGTTGGAATGAAAGCAGGTTTTTTTTTCTGACGTCACGTGATTTGCAAGGGACAAACTGAAATCGTCCATGCTCAGATACTTAACTCAAGTAAAAGTACTAAAACGGCCATGTAAAACATAACATTTTTAGACTGTTAATGCCACAGTGTACAACCATAATTTTACTGCTGTAACTTGAGTTGGAGCTTCTTTTAAATGCCCTTTGTAGAGTGAAGTAGTTTTGTCAAGTGGATCCCAACCCAGGGGTCGGCCCCCCTCCAAAAGGTCACAACATAAATCCGAGATGAATAATGTACGGAAGCTGAGAAAGGCCATACTAGAAAATTGGTGAGTGTGGTCATTTTTGGCTTCCACAGTAATGGGACAGGAAAGAAGAGAAACAAAGTTATGCTATACAAATCTGTGTTCATTATTTGGGGCTTTTTGCTAATCTTTGCTTTTTTGCAAATTATTGAATCATTTGAAAATCTTTGGGCCCCAAACAGTTATTTAAATGAATCTATCATAGCAGTTTAGAGGGGAAATGTCTGTGTTCGGCGCGACTGCTAAAAACTCATAGATAATCTGAAACATAACAAGGAGCCCCAACCAAGCCAAATGGTTTGCAGACAATGCTTTTAATCTTCAAAATTTTGCGTATTTCCCTCTAAGATGTAGCGAATTAGAAGCCGATACATGTATTTAATTGTTGCTAACTGTATTTATGCTTTCTTTTTTAAACAACAAATGGAACATATATACTGTAGATGATACAAAATCTGACACTAGAGCACTTTCGCCTTTGTTTTGGGTATCCCTGTCATTCACAAAGCCCCCAAACAACCACACGTAGTAGTTGACATCCACATCAAAACAGTGAGGCCGTCATAAAGGGAGGTAATGAGACAGTTTTTAATTAAAAAAACAAAAACCTTTTCAAACACTTTTCAAAATACAGCAATACAACAGTTAAAACAAGCAGTAAGTAAGTCAAACAAATATAACAGTTTCTACTGCCATACATCGCTGAATGTGTCAGAGAGCTATGCACAGCAGACACTGACTCTAGAGAAGCTCAGGTGTAACCAGTACCCCTAATGATAGAGTCATTACACTTACATGTGGCATTATTATTATTATTATTATTATTATTATTATTATTATTATTATTATTATTATTATTATTATTTATGTTATTAGTGACTTTTGTCTCAGTCATTCATGTTAAATGTCCATGTGAGGAAAGCCGGCATCTTGCTTTTTGCAGCAGTTTAAAATAGTATTAAAATTATACTATTGTACTTTAAGAAATATTCCATCTTTAAGGATTGTAATAATTTCCAATCCAAAATGTATATTTGTCATTTTTATTTATTTATTTATTTATTTAACTGTATTTTGAAAAAACGAATCTGTAAAATGAATAAACAACAAATTCATCTGAGTTGGATACATTTGACAAGATTTGACTTGAAAAGAAATTTCTGAGGTACAAAAAGACTGAGCTGAATAACAGGTAGAAATGCTGAGAGATATCAAAGAAATGGATAACATGAGGAATGATTTATTATATTATGATCGGATTTATGTCCTGTAATTTTAAAACAATTGGGAGGTGTATTTACTTTTTGACTTGAGTTACTCTGCACAGATTTTCACGTGATTATCTATTTGTCCTGAATGAATAGTTACAGCCAGTAGCATGAGCTTTATTTCCTCACTACAATTATTTTTAGCAAAGATCAGATGATGGTAAACTTAAGCCTAGATTAGTGCTTCAGTAAGTCAGCTATACAATGGTACAAAGACTCACTTTACAGCCTTTTCAGTTTACATGCACAGCAGGGTGTGCCCAGTGATAAATACAGTGTCTGTCACAATAATTCAAAAAACATTCTTGAGTAATCAACTCTTACAAATCCATGGGCTGAGCTGTTTTTTGTGGTGATGACAGTGTAAGTCTGATGAATAGTAAGCCTTTCAGTTGCTTAAATATACTCAGTTGTTGTGCAATAAGTAGGGAGGCTTATTCAAAGTTACAGTAGCCGGATCAAGTTCAAGTGCTTAGTGAAAATAAATATTTACACTTTTGTATTTAGGAGGAAAATCAACGAATACGATCTAAATTAAATGCAACGAAAACAGCACAGGAGTCACTATCTGTGCTGCCTGCTTGAGTCATTAGCAAATAAATAGCAAGTGAGCATTAAACTTGAAATGTTGCTTCTCCAAGTGGTTGTAGCTCAAAGGCAGTCAGAGTCTAAACATCCGGGATTACTGAATCACTACTTAATGTCTTGTAGTGATCCAACACATATGGTCTTGGATCAATTGCATCATTTACTTCTCAAAAACAGTACTATTATAAGTGCATATTTGGATCAAGAACAAAGAATTGTGATCTGTTCACAGAACAAAATCTGTTTACACAGTCAATTAACAAGTTTAGCCAGTAAACAAGCTGTAAAAATACATACACAATACATTCTCTGTCTTTACTCCGTCCGAAAACAACATCCCATCTTTTCTTACATCAAGGCAGCTGTTTGATGCCTGTCGGGAGCCGTGGTTTCAGGGACTAGTCATGCACTTGAACCTGTTCTTGAAGTAGAAGATTTCATCACGAATGTTACTATTAGCACTGGAGGACGAGTAACGGAATTTTTTGTAGGCCTTCTGTTCGTCTGTTTGACCCCAAGGTAGTTTGATCTTTGATGCGTGGTTTACAATGATGTCACTACAGGAGCCAATGTGGAGAGAGCCCAGAGCGTCGATGAAGAACTCTGCAGAGTCGAAAGAAAATTAGGTTATGACAATCCTTGCCTTATTTTTTGCAGAGTTTGTTTCTTTGCTATCTCTGAATTTGAAGCAACTCAGCAGTGTCATAATGGCGATATACAGAGAATAGCTTGGTATGAGCTAAATATAGATAGACTCACCCAGATGAGCGCTCCGTGCCAGACGGGGGTTGAAGCCCACCTGCTGCACCTTGTCTGTTCGCACCATGAAGAAGTTGATGACGGCATCGGCTACCACACAGTTCGGAAATCCCTTGACGACGTGGTGGTAGCCATTTCTGATATGTAAACAGTCTCCCTCCTCTCCCCCTTCTTCCACTGAAATGGTGTGAAGGTATGTCGCAGTGTAACCTGTCACCTCTCGCACTGCACCACCAACCTGAAGTCATAACGGCAGAAATGTTACGACAATCAATACACAAGAAATAAAATTGTTAAGAATATATAGAAATGACACTGTATACTGTACTATATAATACACAGTATATTATACCCTCCATTAAATGTGATTCACTCAAAAAGCTTCTCCCAGTTTAAAACCAGGCATGTTGCAGTCCAGTGACACACGTCTTGGATCACTGAGCAGCCACATTATAAGGATCAGTATAAGAGCCTGATTTCTGATCTGATCCGTACATATACACGAAACTATACAGCACACACACTTAAAGGAATCCTCATGATATCATTATTGTTTTAAAGGTAAGTTGATAAAAAATATGGTCACGCCTTAAATAACTCAGAAAGAAGGAAGTTGTTGACATGTGAACAACCTCTATCACTACTGACATGATTAAAAACAAACAAAAAAACCACATGATAATGGATACCTGCAGAAACCCCCACCTGTCCAACAAAAGAACAATATGATACATTGTATTGTAAAAACCATGAAGCTACTTCTACTTTATTTCTTTTGGAGGGAAAAATGATTCACAACTGTTCTTACAATCAGGTTACACTAACTTTATTGTACTCAACTTCCTGCATCTGGGTAGATACTGAAGAAATTGCAGTCTGCATTAAATGCTCTGTATCAAATGTGTACTATGAGTTTTTATTTCTACATAGATCTCCTGAATTTTTTATGACAGTACAGCAGGACAATGATCCTAAACAAAGGCCTTATTCAGGCAATAACAGCCATCACTGTGTTATACAACGGGTTACTGTTTAGACACCCCTATGGCTGACACTTTTATTGTCCATTGCGTGGGTAACCAAGATCTTATAGATAAGGATGTAGAGGAGAGCATAACTTAGAGAATACAGCCCAAATGCAATTATTGTCAAGGATAAGATAAGTAGGGCAAAGGACAAGACACATGTAATATTAATTAGGTAAGAACATGTGACAGTGCAGGTTTTAGTGTCCAACAGCATCTTCACACATAAATGTTTAGGATAAAGTTTTGCCTTATTCGGAGTAAGGTGCAGAGAAATGTTGCAACCATGTGATACCTGGGAATATATAACCACTGTCAAATAAGACATCTTCAGAACTTGGTGTGGCGCAACTATGGTTCACTTGCTGTCATTGCACTGCTCATCACTTTCTCTGCGGCACGTCAGTTTGCACTCAATACTTCTGCCTGAGACATGCGAACTCCTGGGAATCACAAGAATTTCAATCACAGAGGCCAGGTGACTCAAGAGTTTAAAAAAAAAGGAAAAAAAACAGGAAATTTTCTTGATAGCTGACCTTAATCCTCTTGTACATGTGTTTCATTTGCTTTAAATGACAAAAAGACAACAAGCAAAATGCACAGCACGACATAGGTCTGGTAGATCATCACCAGGGAAGTTAGTAAGTGTGTGCCAATGTCTATAAACCTCAGACAACTAAAAAGCAGTTCTCTCTGTTAATGTAATATAAGGTCAGGTATAAGTTTATCTACTATATATAGCAAGTGCTTCATGAGTCAATGAAAACAATACAAGACCAACAAGTACCACAAAATAATACCATACCAAGACATTTAAAACAGCCCAGAGAAAAGCCCAGGTCATAAGACCTGAGAGACCTGCCTGAAGAGGTGGGGGGATAAATGAATCATGGATGCATCTGGAGCTGGATTATAGAGTCGTGTATGTGATTAATAGAATCTTCATTCAGCATTCAGATGGATTTATTTCTCTAAGGGAGATGTAGTGGTTTTAACCCCACCTGTGGTGATCAGAGATTCTAATCTATTTATTTTAATTAGTAGAGTATCTATAGATACAATGATACGCACAGTCTCCAACAACGCATCAGATATCTGTAACACACATTGTATTGCATCTGGTTCACGCATCTCACCAGATCTAGAGTGGTCTTCTCCAGGATGTCCACCATCTTCTCCAACTTAGTGTTTGCAGTGAAGATGAAGTCATCATCCGCCCAGAGCACATACTTGGTGGTCACTTGAGACACTGCCAGGTTTCTTCCTGCAAACCAGCCCTGTACACAGTAGATGAACAGCGGTCAAAACACATTAACTGCACTTTTATTATTCTATTCACGTATTTGCATAATCACTGTGCATGTGTGTGTGTGTGTGTGTGTGTGTGTGTGTGTATGTGTGGGTTGAGATTTAACAGCTCTTAAATCTAAATAACATGCTTGGAGACTCACTAGTTCTCTGATATTCTACAAATAATCTCACTGTATAATCTGTGTCAGAAATGCAGTCAGTTAAATCCCGGTGTTGTGTCATGAGACTCAAATTATTAATGAAGGTATCCATGCTATGCCCGCTGTGTGTGATGTGAAGATGAATGTGTGTCTTGTTTGTTTCTTGAGCAAGAGGAAACAATGTTGGGTTTTCCCCGAATAGTTAGTTAGTTCCTAGTTGTGAGGACCTGTACTGCCATGCGGCAGCTGATGGTATGTTTAGTCAGTCTACTGGTCCAGTCCCGAGTCTTATATGAACATGTCAGGCTGGGTCGGGACCAGAATTTAGAGATATAAAGATAATTGTAGGCAAAGTGTCCGATGCTGAGCTTGGCAGGTGCGCTCTGCAAAACTGCAAAACTGTAAAAATTCATGAGTCTGGACAGAAGAGGACAAATGTGTTCCCATTTTGAAAATGTGTTTAAACCTATCAATTATATTATCTGACATAGGATCCAACTGTCATAGCGTATATGACACACTGATCACAGTTATACTTCATAGAGACATACTCAAACTTCTTTACCTTTCCAAATGGCATGATGTAATGTTCAATGTGAGGCCCAGTCACTGGCTGAGGGTGTTCATTATCATCCGCTATCACTATGGTGACGGTGGGATAATATTGCCGTATGCTGTCAATGAGATCTTTGAGTTTGTCATAGCGTAGAAAGGTCTTGGTGGCGATGGTAACAAGGGCACTAATATTGTACTCTAAATGGAAACAAAAAACACAAACAACAGTTATATTCCAGGCGCTTTGAACAAATAAAACTGATAATGACTGCTGCTCACAAACCTCTTTGGTATCCGGAGTTGTAAAGTCTGGGGATGGTTCCATGACCAACTTTAATGGTGAAAAATGACTGGTGACCTTTAGTTGCAAATTCCACTGTAGATCAAAATGACAATTGTGATACAATCAGGTTTCAGACTTCAGGGGAGGATATGCAAAAAGTACTTTTCAGTTCGTTGCCACAGTGTATCATTTACTTCTCAAAAACACTAAGCACCCCATCCCACACACAAAGATTTGAGTGTGGCCTATTGTGAATGTACAATAAAAACACAAAGCAAAGCTGGTCCAATCCGGAAATGTCGCAAACAACTAGCTAAATCTTTCATCAGCTAGTGGTTTGTCTTCCCTTCACAGTAACAGTCAATGATAGTTCTGTCAGTTGGTGACATGTGCAGTTCAAGAGGGTGGGGATATTAGCATTCAATCTTGAAAAAAAGATTAATTTTAACATGCTAATGGCAACTGAGAATTTCGAAATTGGCTAAAGAACAAACAAACACGTTTTCAAGTTTTAAATTTGTATCTCAACCTCATGCAAAAACTTTCTTTAGAGGATTATTTTTTGTTTTATGAAATTATGAAATTAACAATTTATTGGGACCTTTCGGTCTTAGACGTTTCTAACAGGTGTTAGACCGAAATGTTGCAATAAATTACTTGCTGCAAGTCAGACAGTGTGCAGGATTTTTTGATTGCCACTTTGGATCCCACATCCAGTTCCTATGCACCTGCCTCACATAATAGATGTGCAAAGTTTTCTCTTGTTTATGAAATTATCTGCCAATCATTCCAGATGTGGTCAGTCAGACAGCTTAGGAAACAACGCAATGTTTGAAATAAGCAGCTTCAACACACTGAGTCACAGAACATCAACATACAGTACGTGCATCTAGCACATCATGCTACAGTTTAGTTTCAGGAAGGCGCAGCCTCTCAGAGAAATGTGTTTCAGTAGGGAAAGGGTAAGGGTTTTTGGACACCATTATAACAATCTTTGGCAATGAAGTTTCCCACAAAGCATTTGACACATTTCTCCAAAACAGAATCACATACTGGGTCTTCACACTGTCACGTGCGCAGGCCTTCTAAATTTCTCCTTAAAAATGAGATAAAAAGATGTCTTATTCCTATTAAGGCTTCATCTGCCAGAGGCTTTACTGATCAGCCTGTTACTGACACTCAAATTTGGTTTCCTCAACATCACATCACTGTCTAGTAAAGCATTACTAATTAATGACTTGATTCTTAAGCTGGATATGATTGGTCTTTGTGAAACATGGCTTAAAGCAAACGTTATCCTACCTGTTAATGAAGCCTCTTCATCTGATTATACTAATGCACATGCTGCTCGAGCTACTAAGCAAAGATGGGGGTCTGGCATTAATCTACAAGTCAAGTTTCAGATGAACATCTAAACTTGAAGTGACCTTTCACCCTTTTGAAGCTCTTGTATTGAAATCATCTCCTTTACAGACCACCCGGCCCTTATTCACAGTTTTTAGAATAATTTGGTGAATTTATCTCTTGTCTTATTACAGACACTGACCACATTCTAACATCTCTTAGCTGCTTGTCCTTTAGACCCTATCATTTTCTAGAAGTCATAAAATAGATGAGATTAGTTATACAATCACCTCCTCTACTCCAGCTTTTACAGTGCCAGCAGAGCATTACATCGAGTCCCAGTTACTTTCTCCTTTAACAAACTTAGATACTCTGTCTCTTCAAGCACTGTCTGAGCTGGTGTTGTCTTGTAAACCCATCCACCTGCCTATTGGACCCTCTAACAGCTAAGCTCTCCAAAGAGCATTGTTGGGACCTTCAGTGTTGAACATTATTCATTTATCATTATAACAACTGGCACTTTCCCCAGTAGCTTTAAGACTGCTGTGGTTAAACCTTTATTTAAAAAAAACACACCTTGATCCATGGTCCCTAAATAATTATCAGCCAGTCTCAAACCTTCCTTTCTTTTCTAAAGTATTAGAAAAAGTTGTGTCTCAGGAGCTTTCACCTCACTTGTCTAATAATAATCTTATTTGAAGCGTTCCAGTCTGCCTTCAGGGCCAGTCACTCCACTGACAGAGTGCTCACTGAAGTAGTAAATGATCTTCTGATCTCCATGGATACAGACTCCACCTCTGTGCTCCTCCTACTGGACCTCAGTGCAGCCTTCGATGCTAAAGATCATTCACATTCAGTTTCTAGCCTGGCCATACCCTGGTTAAAGTCCTACTTATCTTACACAGTGTGTCTCCTATAATGACACTATATTGACATACCCTGCCTCTGCTTTTCTCTATCTATATTTCACCTCATGACCAAATTATGCGCAGTCATGGAGTTAATTAGTGCCACGGGTGCTCAGCTCCGAGGCACTCCTCTACAGCTAGAATAGCTGAGAGGGGTGCCTCGGCCTTCGGACTTATTATTATTCTTTCGACAAATTTTGGCGCGTAACTCGTCCCAAAGCTTTGAGAAAACCCCGGTAATATATACATCAAAACGTGCGTCTTGATCCCGAAAGAGGTGCTATGACTTTTGGTGTTAAAATTCCAATTTTTCCCAAAGTTATTCCCAAAATACTGGGAATAAATAATGCATTAGGAATGCATTGGAATTTTCTTTAAAAACCTTTTTTCTACAAAATGTCACCTTTTTTCTGAGTCACCCAGCTCTCTCATACCTGCACGTAGAAATGTGATTCAAACTATAAAACGGAGGAAAACTTCTGCTCTCTCCAAAACACAGCAACTGTTTTTACATAACATGTAAACTTTTCAAACTATGAGCACTCAAAGGAGGAGTGCAAATCACTTTTTCTTCAAAGTTAGAGTGACAGCGTCAGTTGGCTAGAGTGCGTGAAGCAGTAAAAAATAACCTTTGTTTTTATTTTTAACGGCCAAACCGTAAAAAGGAGACAAATAATTATTTCTGAAAATGTAGACATAGTTTTTGGGATTCATAAAATGTAACTTTGACAGGAAGGGTCTGCACAAAATTTAAACAGGGGTGCCGAGTCCGGCAGCAATACCTGTCTCACTCTCATTGACACCTAATGTAATCGTCTTTTTTTTTTCAAAAGAATCTCACTCTGTCTTCGCACTGAGCTTACTCACTCATTTTAAGGAATATCTGAATAAAATAGAGACTGTAAGAAACTTCTGGCTTCAGTGTCTGTCACGGTGTTTTCGGTTTTTGAAAAGAAGTAACGGTTTTCTCATAATTTGCAATTGTTTTAAGCCATGTAGAAGCCAAATTCTGGGCAGATTTTCACATTGCCATGGCAACGGCAGCTCCTGACCTGTGTGCGTGTGTGCGTGCCTAGCAACCAGATAACCAACTCTCCAAGCTCCGCTAGCTTTACATTAGCCGCATGTTAGGTCTTAAATTACATTTAGTTAGGTCTTAAATATGTAAGTCCATTTACTGCTTCCTTTGTTGCTTTTCTTTTTGTTTTGTTAAATGAGTGAATGAAGTTGTGACGGTCTCCGCTGAGACAGAGGAGAGGAGAAGCTACTAGCCCTCTCTCGCTGTCACTTCTAGTCGCGTTGCTCTCCTCCCCAGTAATGTTAAATTTAGCACAGAAAAAAACATAATAGTGATAATTTAAATAGCGGTTCATGGGATTTATTAACCCTCAGGGGTCCCTCTGTCCTTTTTTGGATATTTTCTTCACTTTTCTTTTTTGATTAGCTGATCATTTTGGCTGTGTTACAGCTGAAGGTATGGATTTCTGCAAGAAAGTGTCTTTTTTGACATATTTTTAAAATCTAATGTCAGTTACTGTTACAGGTCTATTATACACTGGTAACACATTTTGTACCCTCTGGGGTTCCTCGCATCCAAAAAAGGACACACAAAGAAAATGCTATAAAATCATCATATATCAATATTTTTTTCTGCTTTTTTTTGCATACATCTCTTAAACCACTTCAGTTCTGCTCAAACCTACCAAATGTTTATTAGTTTTCAGGATTTTAACCCTTTAAATGCCAGTTTGACGACATGTTGCCTCTTGTTTTATAAAAAAAAAAAAACACAGAATATGAGATATTTCCCACATAATACATGATGGAGGGATGTGACATTGTTTTATATCAGAGTCTTTTATATCAAGACATTTCTCAAAACCAGAATATGATCAGGGTGACTTTTGAACACTGGAAATAAATCATGTACTCATCCCGGCAGTAGCCCCCGTGGCACTCAAAATTTCCCTGGAATTTTCTAGTTTCCACTGTTATGCTGATGATACTCTAGCTGTATGTGCCCATAAAGGCTGACCATTCCTTTAAAATTATGAATTTAGAGGTCTGATTGTCTGCTGAGAAAAGCTGGATGTCTCTCACTTTTTTGCTCCTAAATTCAGACAAAACTGAGATGCTGGTCGTTGGCCCGACCCGACATAGGCACCAGTTTGATCAAGTTACGATAACTCTCTCGACAGTTTTGTGATTTCTCATAGTCTGACAGCCAAGAATCTCGGTGTCACATTCGATCCTACCCTCTCCTTCAATCAGCACATTAAAGATATCACCAAGACTGCCTTTTTTCACCTACATAACATAGCTAAGATTCAGTCTTCTCTATCTATGACTGATGCTGAAATCTTAATTAATGCCTTGTTTCATCAAGACTTGACTATTGTAACATTTTGTTTTCTGGCCTGCCACATGTTAGTATTAAAAGTCTTCAAATGGTTCAGAATGCTACAGCTAGAATTGTTACCAAATCCAGAAAATCTGAACATATTACACCAATTTTAGCTTCTCTTCATTGGTTCCCTGTCCATATGAGATCAGACTTTAAGGTGCTTTAAATGACGTACAAAGTTGTATATGGACTTGCTCTTTCATACCTGTCTGATCTGCTTAAACTTTATACTCCATCTCATGCTCTCCGGCCCCAGATTTGATTGCTACTGTCCTGTATGACCCTCAGTTGTTCAGATCCTGGGTCAGTGGGAGCAGTAACTGAAGGAAAGAGCCAATTTCTTGCATTATCTCTTCTTTACTGACCCCCAGCCATGCCGTCTCCAACAGCGTTTTTCTTGACACACACTCTCCAAACGCTCCAGCACCTGTTCCTTCTGGGTGAGATGCAACACCTGCTCCTTCATGGCTCTGATCAGCTTCACATCCTGCAGCCTTTTGTGGTTTCCTTTTCTGCTGGAGCTTCAGTTTGAACCGCAGCTCATGCCTTTCTCTGCTCCAGCTCCTCCTGCTGGTCTGCATACTGCTTATGAGGTTTTTCCCTCTGCTCTTTAAACGTTTTTCCAGGAGCAACGTTTGGTCCTGCCAAAATAACCTCTTCTGCCTTTTTGTAAAGCCAGAAGTTAATTGGGGTCTAATCTGTTATTTCCTCATCTCCGTAGTCTAAATAGAAATCCTCCTCCAAGTCCAGATTCTTGGACTTGAAGCTCCATTCATCCGTGACAGAGTAAATTCAGATTTTTATGTTTTCTTTTTCAAATCAGCCTGAAATGGTGCCTCACATGTGTGAATAAGATATCTATCCATAACACCTGACTGCTGCTGCTGTCTTATTGAGTATCTGCATGTGAATGAAGCTCTACGGTGAAAGTAGAAAGCTGCTCCCTCCTGTCAACAGCAGGTGACTCTACCACTGACAACCTATACTAAACCAGGGCTCAAAGTCACCAAAGTCATGCTGTGCCACAGGAAATGACTCATACAAAACCTCATTCAAAAACTTTGGCACGCTTTTCTCTTTAGTTTTACATTGTGAGGGTGCGTCATGTGGCGTAGTGGTCTGAGCAGGCACCCCATGTGTAGAGGCTACAGTCCTCGCTGCAGTCGGCCCCGGTTCGAGTCCCACATCGGATGGCCTTTGCTGCATGTCATTCCCCCTCTCTCTGCCTCCCCATTTCCTCTCTCTCTCTACTGCACTATAAATAAAGGCATAAAAAAAAAAAAAGTTTTACATTGTGAGAGCAGTCTTTTGCTGTCTGTCACATCTCACCTGGCGCCACCTGTGTGCTGTACACTTCGCTTGGCAGACAGCGAGATTAAAGGTAGGTATTTTTTGGTGTTCATTCACAATCTCATGGTGATTGATTGCACCTGAATGCACTATACATTTAGGGATAAAAATAACCTTGTATTGATAATTCTTACACTCCTTCAAGTGTAGTGAGATACCTCCTCCACCTATGAGGAAGTATGTCATCACTTCCCTCTATAAGGTTTAACGGTACATATGACATTCTACTTTTAGATTCAAGATAGTATCCACATAATAACTTTACCTGTATCTGCTGTCTTTGGATGGAAAACAGTGTTTCTATAGGTGACGAACTGCAGCTGCCGGTTCAGAGCTGAGAGAAGAGGACTCGACAATATCATATGCATCTCTCCATCTCCTTTGACAGAGACACTGTCCACTGTAGCAGCAACATCAAAAGTCCCCAGTTTCGCTGTCAAAGACACCTGTTACACAAAATGCATGTTTTGGGGGAAAAATTAAACAAAGACATTTAATGTTTATGCAAAAAAATAGCATATGTCAACCCCAATGAAAAACCAAAAATGAGAAAAATTACCATATGGCTTGATTTTGTTTCTTCTTTAAGACCCAAGCCTATGGAAAGAGAGGAATTATTATCAGGGATATCAACATGGGATGATAGTGAAGCATTTTAACAGAGTTAAAGAACAAATACTGCACTAACAGTCGATGACGAGGTAACATTTAAATCATCAGTTTTTTTATATTGTGTATTGTGCTGTGTTAAATATGCTTTTACCAGGAATGATGATTGTTTTGAGGGGTCGCACCTCCACCCCCTGGGTAGGATACTGAAGAGGACTGTTGGCCTCGGCTACAATAAGCAAATTTGCAGGACTGAAGGACCTTTACACACAGAACACACAGTATTAGATATAACGTAGCTGCACTGCTTCATCACTGTGCAATCAACACCATAGTCTTAATATTCACAGAGAAGGCAATTTGATGCGATTTCACTGTATGTTTCCAGTCTTGAGTTAAAGTAAATCATTCACTGGACAAAACTAGCATTAATTGATATTATATTTATTTTTGGGGGTTAGGGCCCCTATCTTACTTCCAGCCCAATGCAGCATTAAAACTACAAGTGCCTATGCGAGTGTCTGACCAACACAGCTGTCATTTTCCAGGAAACAACTATTTTCTGTGTAAAGATATAATGGTGTCCTGAGCAGAGAACAAAGTACACCCTTTCTGTGTGTGTAGTGAAGCAAGCTTCTCTGTTCTTTGTTTTGGTGTACTCGATGGGTACATAATGTTAGATGTCTGTTTTCATTAGTGACCAGCTAGCTGTTCATCAAATGTTGCTATCACTAGTCGGCTTAATGCCAGCATTGCCATGGAGCACATCACAGCAAAGCTTATAGATTATTTAAGAAACTAAGTACAACCCTTTTGAACCATGTTCCTGGTGCTTATACACTTTTGCTAGTTTTAAAAGTGGATATGGACAGACCCCAAAAGCGCCTGGGTCGTACACTTTAGGCACTGTGTTTTTGACTTTTGATCACCAAATGAATCTAATGGCTGTCGGCAGCACAGAGGCATTAAAAAGTAAAATATCTCTTTAAAATCAGAGAAAACAATCATGATCCAAGTCTGGTTTCAAGCAAGTTATATCAGCAAAACCGTATTCAAATAGTAAAGCAAAGGTTTTGCAGAGCTTTTTATGCGTGTATATGTGTGTGTGTGTGTGTGTGTGTGTGTGCACATGACTACTTATGAATAAGAGATAGAGAGCAGGTGCACATATACAACTGTTTATTTTGGGCGTCCAACAAAAATTGTCCAATGTCTATCAAAGATAAAACCAAACCTTGGTTAGTACTGTGAGAGTTCCTATGACCTGGATGATTTAGAATTAGTGCTGAAATGACTTGACTAAATTAGTTGATTGACTGAAAATTAACAGACAACAATCTTTGTAAACAATTAATTATTTACTGATCAAGCACAAATGTCAAAATCTGTTTGTTTTACATTCTCAATTGTGATGATATGCTGCTTTTCTCAGTTTTATATCACTGTAAATGAAATGTTTTTAGGTTTTGGGCTGCTGGTCAGACAAAACAAGGCTCAGAGAAAGTGTGTTCTTACACGGTTTTCTGAAATTTTATAGACTAATTATTAATCTCATAGACTGATTCCCATTTAGTCTTAGATGTGCATTAAGTGTTTATGCACCAGAAGTATGGAACAGTTGGCCTGCTGATTTGAGGTTTTCACTATCATCAAGTTTATATCCTTGTTGATGTAATTTCAGGGCAAAATAATACAAACAGCAAACAAGGAGGGATGCTGTTTCGCTGCATATAGTGCAAGGACAATGCTAGCATAATGACAATACAGTGCTTGGTAAGATGCTAAATATAAAGTGCACAGTGCATGCACTGCATCCTTTTGAAAACTATGCAGGATGCTATGCAATCAATCTCTCTGTGTGATTTAGAGCACCAAGGGTGCAGGCAAACATAACTAAAGCAGGTACACACTGGAGTTATAGAACACTAATGAGAGCAAACACATTTGAACAAGGCCTTTAAATAGACTGCACTGGCAGTGTATTGAAATGCTATATCAGTGATAGGTTAGCTGTCAACATACACTACAGAATGGCTCAAAGGTATCTTAGCAAACTAGCAGTAGGTCATTCAGTAATGGCTAAACCTTGGTTACGGGAACCAAAACCTATTTCATACAGACTTTTTGCTAAGATCATCAAGCTGACAGTTATTATACAAGGGTTCACTGTTAAGGGTTCATAGTCATTTTTCATTAACTAAAACCTTACCTGCTCTGAAAGCTGCTGTACTCCTGAGCTCTGTGACGCTTTACACCTTCAGGGTCCGGGTGGGGCTCTAAAAACGCAACATCCAAATTGTGGGCCCACACATGTGGGTTGAACAGATTGGAGAATGGCAGTTTAAAAGTCTCCTTATCAGCCAGACATACACAAGTATTCTGAGCCAAAAGACTGTGTAAAAAAAAAAAACAAGAAAAAAAAAAAGGAATTGATGAGGATATAAACATGAATTCAAGCAGAACTTAGACAAAATAACAGTCATGCTGACAAATAACCCACCATGCCACATCCTCTTTTATATGGTAGGTTATGTCATTATATGCACTAGTGATGTCCCGAATTTTCCCATCCAGGAGTTCCTTTATTGTACCCCCCTGTCGTGGCTGTATGTCAACTTCTGAGCTGGACCCAGGGCACCAAACATGATACAAGGCTAGCAGCCCCACAATGCTGACGAAAATCAGTCCAAGACACTTCTTAGAGGTCTTATGCATCTAGAATGAAGATTAATACAAATGTCAAAATGGTAGACAAGTAGGCCTCACTGGATAAGACAAACAATACATGCATGTGACAGACATAAGCCCTGTTTTTCACATGGGAAAAACTGAATTTGACTGGATTGTTGACAAGTTCACATCATTTTTCAGTTGGCTTGAAATTTATCTGGACTTGCCTGGATTATGTATTGTTCTGTAGGCTACAAGTGTTAGACCTTGAAAATCATTGAACATTGTTAAATTTCAAATTAGGAAAGATGAATTTTAACCCAATTAGGATTATCTGATCTAGAATCCATGTATCACACTGCAGATGCACAACTCAGGCTTATTGGTGGTTTGACGTGTAAACCAGGTAATACACAACTGTTCATGCATCAGTATTGATCATTTAAATCACCTTTAATGAAAATAAAATAGGTCTGACCTTTGCTTTAAAGCCCATGTGTATTTGAATGAAGTTTGTTATGAGGGGAAAGAAGGCTTCAACCCTAAATATTACTCATTTTAAATGTTAAGGTGAGGTGAAGGTTAAATGTGTGTGTGAATTTTGCTTTTATTTCCCTACACTGAAGCTAAATTATTACTCATTTAGGAACAGATTGTTGGGACAGTTATTTTCCTTAAAAGTAATATTGATGCCAGAGCAGAGTAATAATACCTTCTTGTTACTTTGAGAAACTTCTTTTTTTATGTTAGTGGGTGAATGATGCATTGTCAGTATTAGTGTTATTTTTGCATGCAATACCATGCTTCCAAATTAGTGTTTGTTATCTTCAAGAAACTTTCCTATCTCAGGCTGAAGACTCAGTTTTACCTCCATGAGACCATGACGGCAGAGTAATTACTTTGACTCTTAGAAGTGTTGTTTATTAAGTTATTCCATTTACATTAGTTTGTTGTATTACAAAACATATGTAGCCTATTACTTACAGTGAATTGTCTTCCTATTCATGGTCAGTTACATGTTGTTAGGTGTGTGACCTAGTTCTTCTTCAATGATCTCGTATTCTTTTGTTTCACTGTAGACCGCAGACAACCCTAAAGATGTTCATGACACAAACAAATGTTTTGCCTGGTGGGCTTCCTCTTCCTTGACTCACCCTGTCAATCGCATTTTATGGCAGGTTCACATTGCCAGATAGCTAACAGCCATTGTAGTTGGTGCAACTGCTATGTGGACTGTTAAAGTTCCTCATATGTTATATTGCTGCAACAGATATTTCTTCTTTCCTTATCTAACCATGAGGTGTGACAACTGACAACTTGTTTGGTTTGGTAATTTACTTGCCCCTTGGTTATAATGCGAGTCAGTGACTTTATCCTCTGTCGTTAGGTAGGACAGAGTTATTATGGTTGGAGATTTTAAAATTCATGTAGATGATGTTTCTTGTAGCTTTGCTGCGGATTTTCTTAACGTCACTGAGTCTTTTCATTTAATTCAACATGTGTCTGGTCCCACACACATTAAGGGTCGTTCCCTGGACCTGGTTTTTACGTTTGGTTTACATATCGATTCTATTTGCTCTGAGGTGATGCATGTTACTGATCATTAACACGCTCTGTTTAACTTCCTGCCCATGAAACATGCGATTCTGAAATCGTCTCTCAGCGGAGAGGTTTTCTGCAACAGCATTGTCTTCTCATGACGACTCACTCTGTCTTAATATGAATTGCTTCACCATTTTGGACAAAGTTGCTAGCTTTGTTTTTTTGTATTGCATAGCAAAATGTGACTGGTTCCCTCCCTCAATTCATCCTCCTTGTTAAATGACACTATTTGTTGTTCACAGCCAGGGGTGGACAGTAACAAAGTACATTTGCTTGAGTACTGTACTTAAGTACATTTTTCGAGTTTTATTTTTTTTGTAAACTTATGACTTTTACTCCACTACACTTACACTTAAAAGACAAATATTGTACATTAGACTCTACTATATTTCTGAAGTGAAGTACTTGTTACTGTGAAGCAGAGCTTTTAGTCAGAGGAATGAAGAACGGCCAACTCCTCCACTGTCAGTCACGTTGTGCTGCTGCATGTCTGAACCTGTCAGTGTCCAAACGATGGCCACGTTAGATAAAGATGATTCTGAAGATTCTTCTAGTCCATGTTTACATTTTTTAAATTAAATAAAGATTAATTTTGTTTTAAATGTTGCAGTGTTTAACACGAGCAACATTCATCGCTACCTACAGAAATGTGCTGTTCAACTTTTGAAAGCACGTCAAGGTGTTAAATGTTTGTTTGTTTCCAGATAAAGAGTTTGTAGTTGGCATCGTTTTGCTAATTCAATTGTGTTTTCAGGGTCATTGGATTGTATTTTGAACACTTGAGTATTTTTAAAGCAAGTAATCCAGTGCAAGGTTTAAAAAATACTAAGTAAAAAAACTCAAGTAAAAATTTAACTGAACAACTTTCACTTGTATTGCAGTAATATTTGACTGTTCTTGAACTCTGTTCAAGGCACAGATGTCAGAGGACAGAGCAGCTATGGAAACCAACAAAGCTTCATCTGCAACAAGTGATTTTTAAATAAAGATTACCAACATGATTAATGGTAAAAGAAGCAAGGGCTTCTTACTTTGCAAACCAGATTTAACACAATCCTAAAATCCTGTTGACACCATCAACAACATTGTCACTCCTGCATCTCCTGATGTGCCTGTTTTTTCAACAACAGCAACAAAATCATTAACCTGTTCACATTTTTTGACTGAAGAAACATTGGCAAACTCAGGTCTATTGTATCACAACCAGAGCTACAGATGATTACCCATTATCACTTTTATATCATCCAGAATAAATTGTTGATACTCTACATTTGCATCACACCCATATTATCATCTTTACACTGACTTTCCATGAGGTTAAGGATTCATGTTAAGGTGCTTGTTTTCACATATAGAACCCTACATGGTCAGGCACCTGCGTACATCTGTGACCTGCTTCATCCTTGTATCACTAGTAGGTCACTCAGGTCTTCTGACCAGGTTGTCCCTCGCACTCCACTGGAGACAAAAAGCAAAATGGTGCTCTTCCTTAAGTCAAACGTTCTGCAGCCTCTACTGATACTTTGATAAGGCAACTAAAGACCTATTTATTTAAGTTAGCCTTTGTCTCTTCCTCTCATGTGTGCAATTCTGTGTGTTTTTAATGTCTTTGTGTTGCTTTTATTGTATGTTTTCTTTATTGTTATGTTCAAGTTTGTCCGTTAAAGTTAGAACTTTAATGATGTGTTCTTTAATCATTTCACTTTTATGAAGCAGTTTGTGACTTTGCTATAGCCTACTACATAAACTTTACTACTTACTGTACTGTTACTGTATTAAACATCTCAAACGCTAAAACGCTTATCTAGAGGTCACTTTGCCTCCCAATTCAGTTAAATGCTCCAACGTCATTTTCAAGAAAAAGTAAACGTGTTGCCTATATAAATAACAAAATGGTGCATGATTGACGACTGATTGCGTGTCAATCGAGTTATTAAGCTGAATGAGCTCCCATAAAGGATATCCGTACAGGATACACCAGTTATTAAAACTCTTTATTGAAAGGTCGAGCGTTATATTTTAAAGCAATGAAAATAAGGTTAGACATTTGACCCTTAGAAGACGCCCTTAACTTTCTTCAAAAAATAGCCGATGTTTAACCAGAAAAATGTTCCCGCATTTCCACAAGGCTTCAAACTGCTCCCTTCTCTTTGGGAAATACTTGTCATGAATAAGGGGGAAAAGCGATGAAACCAATATTTCAAAGCAACACGCCAAAAAGCCCCAACATTTCTGTTCATAGACACAGCAGATTAAAAAAAAAAGACAGGAGAAAGATAGATGAATATTCTTACTGTTGTTGTTTCCGTAAAACAAATAGCCTATTCCTCGTCCCTGTTCATCCCCACTACTCGCAACAACTAGTGTGACAGCTGAATGAGAAAGGCGTGTATTTGCGGATTCAAGGTTCAGTGTGCAGAAGCGACTCACAGACTCTTCTCGTGCACCACACCACCCAATGTTTGGACGTCACGGAGAGAAAAGTTGTATTTCCAGATTTAGAATACACAGTTGATGAACTAGTTTTCCTGACAGCTTGCTTGATCCTGGACCTGTCCTGAGAACGCTTCCCAGCACACTCTGAAATAAGCACCTACATGTTTGGGTGTTTAGGAAGCGAAAAATAAACTTTACGTCACTGAACAAATTTAAAGTCACCATCCGTTTAAATAACATGCTCGGCCTGCTTTCAGTTGGCCTTAACTGTGCACAACAAATTTCACACAAGTTTTTCGGTGCTCAACAGCATCATGATTTTGTCACATCACAGTATTTGCAAAAGTTTATCATGGTCCAGTATTTAATTTACACATGGGGAAGCTTAAAACCTCCAGTGCACTTTACACTGAAAATGGACTGTCACTTTGTAAATGATGTAAATGATAATGAACAACATTTGCATATTCATTATCCGGATTAACTAATAATAATAATTAATTCAAGGAGAACTGCTGTTACCTGCAACACCTATTTTGGAGAGTAAAGAATTTTCTCATCGCAAATATGAGTTTGACCTTGCTCTAAAAATGTACGCGTCTGTGAAATAGTCATTTTCCTGGTTAACCAATTCTCTCACATCCTTTTCTGTGCTAACCGTTCATGTTGCAATTTCAACAGGAACACTGCACAATCCTGGTGTACGAGTCGATGTGGTATGAGCTATGATGAATCTGTTTCTGTTTCTGTTCTTATTACTGTGTATCATTTGTTTTACAAGCTCACTTTCTATCTTTATTATGGAATAATCCATCCATGCATTGATAAATATTACTCCTGTCCTGATATGACAGTGCGTATCCTTTGACTGTGATTATGTTCCAGCTGCTCAGACAGACTGGATTGCTTGAACACAGTCTATGGCTGGTCCTTAAGGCATTACATTGACACATATTGATTATAACTGTAGCTGCTGATAAATGGGAATGTTGTAGACTTTGTTAGGGTGACACCCTGTGGCCAAGATTGATAGAGCAACTGCTTTACCCTGTATTTCTTTCATGGTCTCTCTGATCATCATTTAAAATACACATTACAACTATCATAATGAATGCATCTAGCATTTAATCAAACTGTAAGCTAATTGCCCTTAATGCGTCTGAGACGAAGTGAAAAGCGGCTTCCTCTACACGTCACATGCAGCCAGCCAATGAGAGGCCGCATTTTCAAAGCTTAGCCCGTGAGGCAGAAGAATGTAAGTCTGTGCACCGGCTTCCCACTTACTAATCATCTTATTTGGCGACTCAAAATACAGACGACGTCAGTCAGAAACAATACGTCGGGACCAGCACGTGACGATATGACTGGCAGCTGTAACAGGCCTGTTCCTTCTTCAGAAACGGGATTTTTTTTTTTTTTTTTTTTTTCTCCCCGCTGCTTCAGGAGTTGCAAGCATGTCGTGCTCACAAATGACTCATCTACCAGCAAAGGTAAATGACACACACAAGCGAAAATATTCATAAAATGAATTATGTTTTTGGCTGATTGGAAACACACACACACACACACACACACACACACACACACACACACACACACAGCGGCGGTTGTGTACAAAGACAACGTGGTGTAGCCTGTAGATGCAGATCTGGACTCCACATGGCCTTGTATCGCAGTCAAAGCAGTCTGTGTCATATGTTTTTGGTTTGAACGGATGTAATGCCTCGATCAGGGTGACTGGATTTGTTCGCCTGATTCTTATTTCTCGTCAGGATAATGAAGGGGAGCAGTGCGCGTGGAGAGTAAATGTAGAAAAAAAAAAACAACCCTTGTCATGTTAATCGTTAACATCTGTCTCGAACTTGAGGTATTTGACCTCACCGTGAGACAACACAGTCAAATGAAAACATTTTTTTTTTTTTGGCAGTGACATAGTGACACTGAAGTCCATCTCCATAAATGTATCTGTTTAAATCAATGTTACAGCTGAGCCAAAGGAGGAGGCATGAGTGATGATGTCATCAAGACAAACCCAGGAGCTTCTCCACAAACAGTGATCAGGGGGACAGCACCATTTTACTGGAGCACATTTTCTCCTTCACAGTAAGTCCTGCTTTCAAGCTAAAATGATTTGGTTCACAGTTACAGTCATTAGTTCGGTGTTGGTATCCAACAACTGTCAAGTCTAGACACGTTTATTTCTTGCTTTGTGAGACAGGTTGTTTCTGTCGTCTTTTAGATTTTCATGTCCATTTGTATTGTGGCAGTAAAGTTTCTTTGAAGTAAATGTAGATGAGGAGATTGAACCCCAGACAGCAATGCTTAAAATGTGTTGCAGTCTGGGTGTAAAAAGTATATCCAGTATGACTGAAAGCTAACACTGACACCACATTGCAGCTTTGCAATTTTTAATGCACACATCAAATACATGTCTTGCTGTGCAGATATCATTGGAGTTTATAACCTTTTCTGTCGCCATGAAGGTTTTAAAACATTTGCATGATTACATAACACAGTCCAATGTGCAACTTTGCACAGTCTTTTCAAACTTATGCGCTTTATACAGATAATACAAAAAAAAAAAATGTTGAAGGGGGAAGTTTAAAGTCACACTTCAGGTTGGACTACATTGAAATTGATCCTAGTGTGTTGCGGCTCTGTGTAGACATGCTATAACTGGGACGTCACAGTGCTGGAGAGGGTGTCAGTATGAAGGGCCCAAGCTCCAGATGGGCCTTCTCCCTGGGCTTCTTGGTGGGGGCCTGCAGCGTCTACTTCTTCCTGCGCCAGGTGTGGTTTGAGAGGAGCTACCCTGTGCTGTCAGAGGCCCAGGAAAAAGCCACAACGGTGGGGGAGAGACCAACCAGCTGGAGGAAAGAGGGAGCTGCTCTCATCAACCTGCTCCACCCTCACCATGCAGGTGCTCCAGACATCACTGTGTCAAAAAAAGTATATGCATAACAAGCATAGCATAAGTAAAATAAAACCTTGTATCCTCATATATATATTTTCATTATATTTAATTATGCAAAATTTGCTACTGTTCTATTAGATCTATCTTGTCTTTGTTCTGTATATAAATTAGAGTAATTAGCTTAAATGTCAGCACTGGCTCAAACAGTCAGTGAGTGATTGTGTAGTGACAGACTGATAGATAAGTTGTGTAAAATGCATTTATATGATAAACACAGACAAGGTGTATATTATTAGCTTGGATGCTTTCATTGGTTTGGAAGTAGCCGTGGTAAAAGAGGGATATGTACACAGAGGAAAAAAGATAATTTTGCCTTTCAGTCAGTGGGATGAAACCACTCCACCGCAATGTCCACGCATTTCATTTAATCAGTTTTTAATGAAACTGGATAAAAATGTACATATACATATGGTGTAGTACCTCTTCAGTCCTCTCGCTAATCCATCAAGGCATTTAGAGCTGTGCTACAGTGCTCCAGGAATGTTGTTCAAGGTTGTCTGAGCTGGGGTTTCGCACATTGAAGGAAAGGTCATTTGCACTGCTTACATGAAAGGTTTGAGAGTGCTCATAGCAAGTTAGAAAAATGCAGTAAAAGGGATAAAACGCAAGAAGAATGTGGAGTCAACTGAATGAATGAGAGCAGAAGGTAGAAGTCATGCTCATGTGTGAGGAGTGTGTTGAGTCCACTATTATTTTGCAGCAAAACCGGACTCGCGTGTTCGTTTGATGAAGTATGCAGGACACAGATTTAAAGTTCAACACGTCCAATTTATTAAAAGTATAGCCAAGCATAGAAGTTTGAGGTTGCTTACAGAGCTCTGGACTCACCCTGCTCTCCTCTCTCCTGTCTAAACAGAGTGCAGTACTTCCTTGTTTCAGTCATTCATTCTTATACACACATTGTCTGTGTAACAGGGTCACTCCGCCTCTTCTCTCTTCACACCACTCTGACCTGAACCTGTTATCTAAACATGTCATACTTGTACTTACTTGTCTGTCCCTGCACATCATTCTGCAATCTCAAACGGCATTCAGTGTCACAATGTTCATAAACAACCATAATCATCAGTTCAAGGCGGATTTGCCTTTTTAATCAAACAGCGCATACAGTTGCAAACATAACATATCCCTTCAAGTGCCAGGGTGGTGTGGTGTAACGACGGAATTATGTCTCTCAGGAGATGCATGATAAACGTCAGGCCTACACAGAGAAGGGTGTGAATGCATGTGCGGACCTGTGCGGCAAGCAAGCTGAGTGGTTGAGTCTACAATTTTTAGAAACAAAGTTGAAGAAAAAGTATAAAAGAAACTTCCTCGTAAATGTATCTGCACTCTCGCATACATGCAACCCAGAGAAGTATAATTTGGGCCTCACTGGTAGAACCACACTTACAAAAGCTCCACTGCACGCTAGTTAACATTGTTATGTGCTGTGCTGTTTGCTGTGTCCTACTAGATGAAGACAGCCGGGTGGCAGATGTGTTGTACCAGAAGGTCCGCGTTCTCTGTTGGGTGATGACAGGGCCGTACAACCTGCAGAGCAGGGCCCGCCATGTCAGGGCCACCTGGAGTCGCCACTGTAACGTGGTGGTGTTCATGAGCTCTGTGGAGGACCCAGACTTCCCCACTGTGGGACTGGGCACTAAGGAGGGCCGCGACCAGCTCTACTGGAAGACCATCCAAGCCTTCCATTACGTGTACGAGCACCATGCGAATGAAGCAGACTGGTTCTTAAAAGCGGACGACGACACCTATGTGGTGGTGGACAACCTGCGCTGGATTCTGTCCAACCACACCCCTGAAGAGCCCATCTACTTTGGTAAACGCTTCAAACCTTACACCAAGCAAGGCTACATGAGCGGAGGGGCAGGCTACGTACTTAGTAAAGAGGCCCTCAAGAGATTCGTAGAAGGTTTTCGGACCAAAGTTTGCACACACACCACCCCTGTAGAAGACCTAGCGCTGGGGCAGTGTTTGGAGAAGATGGGCGTTGTGGCCGGGGACTCGAGAGACACTTTGCAGCGAGAAACGTTCCATCCGTTTGTGCCAGAGCACCATCTGACTGGCAAGTTCTCCAAGAGCTTCTGGTACTGGAGCTATTGTTACTACCCAATTGTTGAGGCAAGTACTTTCACTTCTCTATGGTACTACAGTGTAAGTTGGGAAAAAAAGTTGTGAAAGCCTATACGGCATATCTGTGCTCAAAGTGTTGAAAATGCAGCGTCCATTGGACCGATGGTTAAGAGGCATACCATGTAAGTGCAATATTCCCAGTTTGATTCTCGCCAGAGATCTTTGTTGCATATCATACTGCCCTTCCTCCCCAGATTAATAGTCTATATCTTCGCTGTGAGCTTGATGGTAAATGGACTTGCACTTTAATATAGCGCTTTTCTAGTCTTACTGACCACTCAAAGCGCTTTACAATACTCGCCACATTCATACATCACAGTCGCACACTGATGGAACAGCAATGAAGGGCAAAGTGGGGTTCAGTATCTTGCCCATGGACACTTGGACACGCTGACTGGAGGAGCCGGGGATTCAACCACCGACCTTCAAATTAATGGTTTACCTTCTGAGCCACAGCCGCCACAGCTTGCCAACCAAGACAAAATGTCAAAAAGCAACTAAAAGTGGCACTATCAGTAAAACCACAAAGTGGTTAACGGATAGCTCCTCAGTAAGACGACATTCTGTGGTGCGGATTAGTCTTATTAGAAAGGGGCAAGTCAGGCTAGGAAGAAATACCAGGACGTGAACTGGTGAGTTGAAAATCCTTTAATATCATTAGTGTACATCTTAGAAATGTACAGTCGGGAGTGAGTATAATGCCATACAGTGTACTGTTTATTTTGATTTTTGATGAAATAAACAAAATGTAGGTGTTGCTATAAATCACTTATCAGAGGGATAATAGCTAAATAAATGAATACGTGATTACCTGGCTCATCTGAATTCTGTATCTGACCTCTGCATAGTGAATTGAAAGAGAAATGAGTTCATTTTAAAGTAGATGAATGCAGTAGAGACAATATCCTGTCAACAAAAGGAAAATTGGTCAATTTGTCGCTGATGATGCAACTAATTTATTGTACTTTGCAATTATAATGAGACAGGTCCATTACTGATCCTGTCAGATACAGCCTGCCAGTGTATGAAGCTGCTTTGTCCCGTCTTTCAAAGGAAAACAAGGAAACAAATTTACTTTTAATATTAGAGTAATTATTTTTTTTAATCAGACTTTAGAAATGGAAATTTGTGGTTTCAGAACTGCCAGTATATGACAATTTATAAAAAAGGATAAGGCAGGTGATATTTTCTATTCTTCTTGTTGTGAAACAGAAACAAAAAGACACAGGCCAACGACGCATTGTTCCCACAAACAAGTATTTCTATGTGGCCAAAACCTGACGTACACAGATTTTTACTGTATGTCGTTCCTCTGTGCCGTAGACCGCCATTGTTGTCCAAAAAACTTTTCAATACACACAAAAGAGTCACAGTGTCGCACTGGCTATCCGCAATGAACATGGGCACTGCAGTTTTTCTTGAGTGAGCCCCCTGCACACTGTCCTGCTTTTGAAAATGCTCACTAGTGCACAAAATGCGTATTAATCCACAACAGAAAATAGTGCCGGACATAGACACAATTTACTTCATTGCCTGTTTTTGGAAATTAGTGTGTCTAAAATAAATAAATAAATTAAACCATAGATAATGACTAATCCTTAAAACAAATGCAACAAAGAAGATGTGCTACATGTACCTTTTTCATACAGGAGTAAATCACCTTTAGATTTTTTTTTTTTAGATTGAATTGGTACTAATCATCTCAACAATGTAAGCTCCTCATGCCAGTGAGATTCTTGGTGCTTATTTTGTTTGTTTTGTCTTGTTTTTCTTGTTCTTTTTTGTGCTGTACAGCAGAGTTCAGTTGAGCAATGAAACCTGTAAAACCAGATTGCAGTCTGGTGAATGATGGAGGCTGCCACACAATGCCACACAATGTTTGGACGTGTGTGGACGTGCTTGTATTTGTCTTTGTTTGTATGTGTGATCTGTGTGTTATTCTTCCTCAGGGTCCACAGTGCTGCTCCGACCTGGCAGTGTCGTTCCATTATGTGGAAGCAGAACTAATGTACACACTGGAGTATTACACCTACCACCTGAGAGCATACGGCTACAGGCCACGCTACCGGCCGTCCCTACGCCAGGGACTTAGCCTCGGCACTCTCACGCAGACCACCGTGACGGCGGGATTTGAAGGAGTTGGAGAGGTGACAGATGGAAGGAGTCTCACAACTGCAGCCTTCTCAGTTAATGGTAACCAAACCGAAGTGGAGACGGAGGAAGGAGAGAGAGACAATCTGAACTCGCACCTCACTGAGAACAGGACTGCAGTCACACACGGTAGACGGCACTGATCCTGTGTTTCAGATGAGGCCGAATGGGTTTTTAACTGTGATGTGTCTGACGAATCTACGTTAGAAACACTTGTAGCTACTGTCACTCAGTGAGAAAGAGCTATTATCGTGGCCACTGTCTTGGCTAACTGGTGTTTTCTTCTGACACAGTATACCACAGCCAGTATGACACTGTATGCTCTCAGCACAGTGTGATTCAGTGGGAGCTAAGAATGGCTCTGCTATTTTCATTCAAGATCACAAGAACACTTGGTTTAGCTTAAATTAACTTTGACATCATCAGTGTCAGAATTAGTGCGTTTGTGACGTTACACGGTCACAGATGTTTGCTTGGAGTGATGTAAGAATAGCCGCATAGAATTTTATTTTAATGTGTTTTACAAGTACCTGATCTGAGCCAAAAATGCAGTGACAGATGTATGAAATAAGCTCATAATTTTTTTTTTATTCATTTTCATTTCATTCATTATTTTCAAAACGTTTCTTCAAATGGAGAACAACAGCAAAGTATATAGCCTCTTATGGCCCCTTTGATTTTCTGATGTTAATGTTTTTTCTGATGTTATATCTGGTGTTGCTGATGTTAGAATTTTAATTATTTATTCCGTTGTTTTGAAACAACATGCAAAAAAATTAATTTCAAAGAGCCGTTGTATCTTTGTTTGCATGTTGCCTTTTAATGTCATTTTTGAATCCTCTGCAAATCGTGATATGTTTATTTCAGTGAGAACGACTGTGCTGTGAAAGATCTTGTTTTTAGCTTTGAAAGATATAAGACGCTCTGATGCGGAAGTGTGCACTCGAAACCCTCTCTGCTTCTGTTTGGAAACACTGTAGCCTCTGATGAACATTATTATACAGAACTCCAATGATTTGCTCTTGTAGCAGGCGTGATTGGACATGACTGTGAGCACTGGAGCCAGGCTTGAAGAATCACTCATAAACAGCTTCAGGAAAATGCACCAATGTTTTAAATGAATAAATTATGTATAAAAAATTATGTTTATTTTGAACTTTGAAGAAACAGAAATAACATGATAAAGAAATAATCATCTTTCACTTCTAATTATGTTTTGTTTTCAGGTAAAGCAAATACAATCTGTGAAGTTTATGGTCACTTTCATAAGCCAGCCGGCAGTTTTACAGTGTGAATCATGGTTTAATCGTTTCCATCAGACATTTCATTCATTGTCTGATGATGTGTTCTATGTGATCTGTCACTGTAGCCAGATGAGAGTTGTTTCAGTCTACAGCCCCTGAAGAAACCTGCAGCACACAAATACACCACATTTATATAATCAATAATGTATAATCAGCATCATGTGCAAAATCAATTATTTAATACACAGTAAAACTAAGGTGCACTGGCCTTTTATGATGATTTAGAATTGTTTTTTTTTTTTCTGTCACAAAGGGCAAAAAAAAGTCATTTGAGTCAGCAGTGCTTCTAACACATTAAACCTTGGAACAGCAGAAATCTTCAGAAGCTCTTCTGTCCTATATGGTTTTAATCCTTTACTGAGTGTTAACTTTATCTTTTCAAGTCGTGGAGACTTTGTGTGTGATGTTCCATCTACTGAGTGAAAAAGAAGAGGCACTGACCTCAGCCGGCACTTGTTGAGAAAAATGCCTCTCCTCTCTGGATACTCTCTCCTCCAGGGACCATTATCTGTGAGAGCAGACAATAGAAAGATATATTGTCCGTATGATGAGCATCAGAGAAATTGTGAAATCTAACTCTAAACGCCCATATCAGCCAACACGGCTACAGTGGGTATTTGATTCTTGTAAATTGCCACACTCACCAGGCTCTGAGTTTCTCCTTCCCATGAGGCCAACAAAAATGTCGTGCATTTCTCCTAATAAGAAGAATGAGAACCGTTTAACGATGTGTTTTCCAACGAAAGCAAGCGCTTCATCGTATCATTGGTAAATGACAAAGGTCTTACTTTTTTGGGGTGATTGTACAGTGTTTGCATCTGATGGGGAAAAAAAGAAAAATAACAGCTTTTTGAAACAAGTTGTGGGAGATTTTCAGGTTACAATCCTGACTAAACTCCTAGATCAGGGAAATTTCTAACACGAAATCTTAACATTTTTTGTGTTTGTTTTTTTTAGTCATTATCATTAACATTGCTATTGTTATTAATACTACCATAAACACATGAATGTTATCACTCGTCGTCAGTCGAAAGGAAGACTCACCGGCGTTTCTTCTGCCCATCAGACCCACAAAGCTGTCATAATCCAAATCGCTATACCTCTTCAGAATGTTCCGCTTGAGGTTGTCCAAGCCTACGGTCTGCTGCAATTACGAGAAGCACAAAGAAAACATCAGTTTCTGTTATAAAGATTTTCCGTACATGGTTTTGGTCGTTACGCGTCAGGAAACCTACATCTGAAGGTGATCTGCGCGATCCGGGTTCCTCGCATCTGCACTGGCTGTAGCGAAGTTTCATGATGAGGAACAGAGTCACCAGTAGCAAACCTCTCCTCATTTTCTCAGCACCACCTGTGCAAGGATATTCACAATTATCATTTTGTTGCTTCTTTACGGGCAACTAGCCTACATCACTGAAAACTGCATTTTCATCAAGGAACAACTTGTACCTGTTGCGCGTAACTCGCTGCGTAATTGGTGCGTAAAAGCGCGCGGTGTAAGGTTTACAAAGATATAATTCATGGAACGTGTAATTAAAATCAGTAAATTATTGTTTCGATTATCTTGCACACATCCATCATAGAAATAAAGACATGACTCCAATAATTTCACTCAATCCTTTTGTGTTCCCTCTCAAAAAAGTCGTGATAAACCTTAAATCCACTTCTCCATAAAAGGAGGAAACTCTTGAAAATATAATAAATACGCACACATTTTACGTTAAGCATTCAAATGTGCATTTTTTTTTTTTTTACCTGATTTCTGTCGAGCAGGTAATTAGGTAAAAGAGTCAGCTGCGTGCGCCCTGGTGCGGAGTGGAGTGGGAACGGATAGATCCTGCAGTGAGATCCGGTGAGGATAAATGAGACGTCCAGGCTTTGGGCTAATAAATAATAACTGGATACCTGCGTAACGCCAATCAGCAACTGGAGCGTAGGTGGGGTACCAGGTCTTATATCACGTTGTGGTGAGCGCTACGTAGTCTACTTATTGGTGGTCATGATGCTGCTGCTGAGAGCTTATGCCCCCTACTAAACACGCACGCACACACACCCTCATAAAAAAATTAAAAAAAAAACGTCCAGGCATGGTCACGAGGACATAGGTTAGTGGACTCAAGCACATCCCTGAACATATTTGGAAATTTTCTTTACAATTGAGTTCACTTGGCTTTGGATATAAAGGGAACAAATAAACACAACTATTTTTAATTGTAGTTTATCTTACAGTTTGAGTTAAAACCTGAGCTTCTGTGTTCAAAGTGTCATTTATCCATCTCTTTGCCATCAGACTCACATGCCCCTCTAGGTGCCCTTCCACCCCACTGACCAGTTGACATGGTCACTGATAAGATACTAATCTTTTTAGGAAGTAATTATACAGATAGCCGCTGCCTCTGCATGTCACTGTAGAGGATGGTGATTAATGTGGCTAGACAGGCTACACCGCTGCGTGTTTGCTATTGACTGCCCTCATTCAAACACAAAATGTGAGACAAAAAAAACATTTGTGCATCTACACCTGAGTAGCTAAAGGTTTTGGTTAGTTAATAGAATAGCAAGTTAATCTGCCAACATGCTGTGTGGGTTTAATTTAATTTAAATGGAAATTTTCAAATATTTGACAAAGTTTAAGAGATGTTGTGGTTTTTTTGTTGCATACAAAATAAAATAAATCTGTTCATTTTATTTTATTTTATTTTTTGGCTACAACCACAAGTCAAGCAGTAAATGCAGACGTTATCAGTGCAGCCACTGAACAGACAAACACGCTGAGTTGTCATGACTAAAATCCAGAAGTGCTGTTTGGACAGACACATCTTCATACCAGTATTGACACAATGAGTAACACGTGATTCTGAGGGTCTCTTGAAAGTGTTCCCATGGCTGCTGTTATCTGTTCTTTGTTAAACCGCTCTGACAGGTGGTGAGATGAAATGTCTGTCTTGTAACGTGTATAAGCACCAATGGTGTGATATTGTTTTATACAGCAACAAACGGTGCTACAGGATTTAGTTGCTCTGACATTGCAGTAAAGGTATCATATGAAATCAACGTGGACTGAGAAATAACATTTAGTAGGCTTGTTCTTGTGTGTCTAAGTGTATCGTAAAAAAAAAAGTATTTTCCCTAACATCAGCAACAGCTGAAAACAACTCAAATTTAGTGCTCATACCAAACCTATCATTTTTCTTGCAATTACACAAGCAATTACACTTATGCTGATGTTTGTGCGCACATGCACAATGCAAACAAGCATGAATATTTCAGCAAAGCAAAGTTTGAGATCATAGCTGTGAACAGGCAGGAGATACTGCTGCAGAGTGCTGTGGCCTCTGGAGACTTAGGCCTCATAGAGGAGGGTATGACACCAACAACAAAGCACCAGGCAAAAATCAAAATGGTGCATTTCACAAAAGGTTAACACTGCTGCGTTTTAGTAATGACTTCCCATTTCCATATTTGTCCTGTTCCCGTATGTAGTAGCGCGGGGGTGAAGTGAGGTGTATGCAGCAGTGCAGGGGTTCGGGATGGGAGATCTGACAGAAGTGGGGAAGTCATTAATTACATTTTTACATTATTGATGAGTTTTTTTTTTTTTTTTATATCTCTCTTGGTAATCAAAGTGGCCCTGTTTTTGGACTAACAGAGAGCACAGGGAAAGAGTGCCAGGGGCTGTTTATCCACAACATGCCAGGGCAGGGGAAGCTTCTCATCTCACTGAAAGGCAAATGGATATTGGGTTGGATGTGCTGCAGGGCTAGATGGATGTCCTCCTATACGTCACAGGTACATGCCCTGCGGACTGCTGAACAAAATCACATGCACCCTCGCCTGTATTGCATTTGAATGTCACTCATTCCTGACCTCACAATGAAAACGGTAGCGCTCCCACTATGTATGCGCTCCCCTCAGAGCTGCAGACAGTTGCAAAGATGATTGGAAAGTATTGTCCCTGACAGGTCAGCAGGACTTTCATGGTTGGCTCAGTAACAGCAGGTAGCCCATGGTGGCTATAGATGGACCAATATGAGAGAAGACAAAAGGGAAAAGGCACAGCTCAGCTTCATGCTGAGATCATCTGATATGAATGCGTATGACTCAGTGTGCATGACAAATTTAAGTGATGTTGAGGTCTAATGCGAAGTAGTGTGACTATCAGTCAGTTGGCCAATTGAAAACATTTGTATCTTCTTTTGCTAATGATTTAATGTAAAAAGTTTATTTAATGTTGTCGGGCTTCATCATTCTCCCATTCAGATTTTTTCCCCTTCTTGCAACCCCTCCCCCCCCCCTCCCCAATTTAAAAGTTTCCTTATATGATTTTGCCCATTCATCCTGCTTTACCTGTATTGAATTACTGGATTAACAGGTTGAATAAATTGACATAACCTTGCAGTGGAACATATACAAAGAGAGAAACATAGAAGGAAAAATATTAATAAAAGTCTGCAGACTTCAGGTTAACTGAAAACAGCCCGGCAGGTCAATTTGTTGTATGGTCCGTGTCAGGACACAAGAATACAAATTTGTTCCTCTATAGTTGCGTATCTGGCGAAGGAGAGCAGCAGGAGTACAGTCACACTGTTATCCCTCTCTTCTCCCTCTAATGGAGCTGCCAGTCATCCATTTGTGCAGGCTTTCATGGCCTGAGAGGGACAAGATAAAGTAAGTTCCACCCTGGAGTTGAGAGGAGACAGTGACGCCACAGCCCTTATATGGGAGAGACGTTATGAAAGAATGAGTGACCAGGGGGAGACGGAAAAAAAAAGAGAGTGCGCAAGGACGAGAGGCGAGAGTGAGATTGCAAAGACGTGCGATAAATTACAGGGTGTAGATTTAGCTATATTTGTGGACAGGCTGGGGTTGGATGCACAGCTTGGAATCTCTAGCCAGAAAGTCCAAAGGGGATTCTGCATGTGTGAACACAGTCAACAGGAAAACAGTCCCTCACACACTCAGTGGCCATCCCTGCTGTTTGCTGTTGCTTGTGGCGACATGGAGACTAAAATAAGCAGATCTAGACGATGATTCCAGGCCTCTCAACGTTAGATCATGAGGCACACCTGTCAATAATCGAGTTAATGGGCTCTAATCTAATGGGGGAATTTAACTTAGAATCTACTTCTACCTCTCCTCGGGGCATGCAAAATGACTTTGATGGATGCAGTTTTTTATTCCACCCACTCCTCCCTGATCTCTGACTTGGAAGGTCCAGAAGTGTCACTTCCATCTAAATGTTAATTTGAAGACTGTTCCTTTACGACTGGCATGGATGTTGATATGCTTTGAAAGTCTATTTGCATTTGACCACAGCGGGTATGTGGAACTGTTGCTGTTGTGTTGCCAAAGACATTCTTTTTTCCCCCCATCGTTTTCCAAAGAGCTCCTAAAAGTGTTTTTCTGCTTCCCCGTTGTCAAAAGTTTTTTGTTCCCTTTAATTTTCTCTCAGTGACGATCGTTTGCACTCAGGTCTATGCTGTTTAGGCTCATGAATCTCTCTTTTTTAAGATTGGAGGATTGTTTTGTGACAGTATTGCCCATTTTCTACTCATCATGCAGTGAGAATACTCCAGAAAACACATTAGCATCCCGTTTGTCACAGACGCAATATACAGGCTGTGATTTGCACTGTAGTTGTGGGTGCAATCAGACACTCGTGTTTGTTGTGTTTTCAATTCTAGAAATATGTTTTCTATCCTTAGCAGACTCAATGTGGTGCATCAGATGAACAGGGGGCATTGTAAGTTTGCTGAAGAATTACTGTTTTCTGCCAAAGGGTTTTGCTTTTTAATTCGACAATTTATTATTAAACATACAACATAACTGAATTATGAGGATTTTTCATTTGCAGTGGGGTGCTGAATGCCTCCCATTTTCTGCAATGGCAAGATGTAATGGTCGCTTCATGGTAGATTTATTTCCTCTGCCCTCCCTTCATTAATCAGCTGCCAGCTTTCCAAACCTTTCGGCTTTGCAAACCTTTGCATTCAGTTTAAATATTGTTCATCGATGGTATTTAACACTGAGGCAGCCGTCTGCTGTGGGATTCTACTCTGTGACGAAGGAGCTGCAAAGCAGCAGCCATTGCACAAACAGCAAGGAGATGCAACAAGTATGATAGTTGAAAACCCCTCAAATATACACTCACCAAGCATGGTAACCCTTTCATTTACAGGCTGTAGTAATTCTGTAATACTGTGAAGAAATGACCAAGAAATAACAGTCAAGTGAAATCAGTAAAATCAGTATAATGACAAAAGTTGTAGTAGTAAATTTACCAGGAATTATTGTAAAATATAGGGTAATTACAGAGTAAAATTGAAGCAGAATAAAGAGTGTTCATTGGTAATTGTATGAAAATGAATTGTTATAGTAAGAAGAATAGCCCACATACAGGGACAGATGGGTCACTTCTGTATAGACTACCATTAATATCGATTAATAACCCTTATTGAATAACGACAGGCTGTTTCAAAAGCCTCAGTAAGACACCTAATGTGTTTGTGATTTCCACAGTCTTACCATCTAATAAGCCAAGAAGAGTGGTAGCCACTGTAACACTGTAACCAAAAGCAAACGGGGCAAGGTGAAGTGTGTTAAGAAAACATTCCCCACACCGCTACACCACCACAATCACAACCACCAGCCTGGACTGTTGAGCCGAGGCAGGGTGGGTCCAAGGATTCATGCTGTTGATGCCATATTATGACAGTATACATCAGACCGGGCTACGTCTTTACGGTCTCCAACTGCCCAGTTTTGTTGAGCCGGAGCCCACTGAAGCTGCAGATCTCTCTTCCTGGCTGACTGGAGAGGAACCTGATG